CGCCCGACAACCCGCACAGGTCCTCGACGACGCTCCGGACGCGCGCCTGCATCGGGTGCGCGGGCAGGTGGTAGTCGGCGAAGCCGGCCCCGAGCGCCGCGGCGCCCGCGAGCATGGCGGCGTGCTTGCCCGAGCAGTTGTTGCACAGCGGGCCCGGGACGAAGCCGTGCCTGATCCAGCGCCGGTTCACGGCGGGGGAGACGGCGTCGTGGCCGCCGCAGCGCAGGTCCGCTTCTGTGGCGCCGCCGGGGACGCGCGCCAGCAGGGCCGTGGCGCGGGCGACGTGGCGGTCTTCGCTGCTGTGCGAGGCGCAGACGAGGGCGAGGTCGGCGGCTGTGAAGGCTGGGTCTGTGGCCGGGCTGAGGGCGCCGGTCTCGAGGATGGCGAGGGCTTGGGCTGGTTTGATGGTCGAGCGGACGAGCGTCACTCGCTCTGGGTCGCCGACGGCGAGGAGGAGGTTGTTCCCGGCGTCGACTATGGCGGCGTGGACGCGGTGGCGGTTCTCCTGGACAGTGCCGCGGGTCGTGAGGATGTGGTCTTCATACTGCCGGGTCATGGCGGGAGGGGCGACAGGGAAAGCTGCCTGCTATTTAGATGGCTTTTTCTGTTGTAGGGATGACGAGGTGCGAGACTGATGTGGCCGGAATATTTGTCTGTCTGTGATGGTTTTTAGCCGTATGTGAGGATGCACTATTTCCAATAATGAAGTTCTTGCATTGCGACTTAGCCCCGTGGGTAGATTGGGGCCATGTGAGTCTTGTTCCCCAGCTTCCATATCGGTCCGCGACAATCACTGCAATTGGCCGGTTCGTTAGAGTCATTCGCAAGCTGGAATCCTTAGCCGTCATCAACGTCCCATTTGGGCCTTGGAGATTATGTTATAGCTCGGTCTGGTTGGCCGCGCCCCAGGATTGACAGAGTTCGGCAAACCTCCGAAATCGAGGTGACTCACTGCTGGTCTCGTGTCGCTTGTCAGGTCTGAGATGGCGAGTGAGGGGCGAGTGATGCACACCATCAATCGATCTTTGCAAAGTGCCACTAGTACAAGAATACGATTATGGATGAGGATACGCTGTTCATTGCGTGGTTCCGACGTCAAATTAAGGTCAAGCCAGAATACGAGAATCTATAGTTGACTGCTCATTAAGAGTTTCAAGCTTATTAAGAAACTTTGAAGTTTATCGTGATTGATTTAAGCTCGATCAAAAGAGTAATACGAGTTGCAACGCCACTTCTTAAAGTGACCTGCCACATCTACTTGGAAAAGTAAGCAACCCACGGAAGTCCGGGTCCTAAGACCTACTGATAACCAGACATAAGTTACGGGGATGCAATGATGCTTATGGCACCGTGCATCATTTGAACTAAATTATTCTCGTGGCCCCAGGGACGAAAAATGCGAATTCGCAGTGACCCTGGCCAACGAGCATCCTGTGCTCTGGATAAAGTTTCCTGGAGCATAACTTGACTTCAATCATGTAATATGAAAAATGAAGTGCAGTTGGTAGTTTTTTAATTTGCAACATGCTGGGCAGTGTGTTGAGGACGCTGCAGCAAGATCAGGTTAGGGGAGAACAATGACGAAGTCGACGGATGATAGCATGACCGACTAATGAGCCGAATATGGTCATCTACAAAAGTATAGTGCTAGGCGGATTGTTGATATCTAAGGTATCGTAGATCAGGACATTGTAGCAAATAATAGATTCAAGTAAATTTGAGGAACATCTGAAGATTGAGAGAGGTAGTACCGAGAACCGCACATGATTATATCAAGTCTCCTTCACAGCCTCTTAGACGCCATGAGTATCCCCCTGCCCTTCCCGCCGCAGAGGTCCTTCACTGCTCTCCACTGGCATATCCACTGGCATAAATATCTGGCGTGAGGAGGACATCCGCTCGATCACAGCTCCTTAATGAAACATTCGAAATCTAGTAGGTAGATTGAGTTGTATCATTCCAGGTGTTAAATGTTTTACAGCTTGATCTCTAGGTAAGCGCATGAGCCTATCCTCTGCTTGCATGCTCATCGATGTATTTGAAGAGGCTTGCGACGAGCGCCGGTTTATAATTGGAATCGAATGACCACCTGGAAGAAACGTGGGCGCTGTTGTTTCAGGCAGGTCGCAAGCAACAATACCGCAACGTAGGATTTGAACTGCCATCGCAAACATGCGTGATCAGACGTTGCCGAAAAACAGACCTCGTGTCCTCCGTCATCACACAGCCCCTTCGAAGGGTGGTGAGATATTCAATCCATGGCAAAATCACGAGCGATGCCACGATATCCTCAAGCGACCTATCATCTCCTGCCTCGTGGTGCCTGTGAATGCAGCTTACGAAACCCTGTATCCAACCGCAGCCGTTGTAGTGCAAGCTGGAGAACCCAGCATTTAAGGATGAATTAACCAGAGACAATCCTCGACCCGCAAGCCTCAATGTGATCTGAGTAAGACCAACATCGTGAAGATGCTTCAATCTGAGTCAGAACAGGCGCCATGGACTTGCATGACTGGATGAAAGAAGGGGTAAGACGGCGGCTGAGCCTCAGGTCGCACTGCTCAAGGCGTGGTGGCGCGAACTACCCCATGGTGAGCCACTTTGCACGACACCACCATCACAAACCGTGGTTGTACACTTTTCCAGACATGCACAAACTGGTGGAGTGCAATGTGCAGTCAATGCATGCGTTTCGCAATGCCCACGGAATCTGCTGGACAAATTGCCGTCGGAAAGATCAGGTTCTAGCGATTGCAGACCACGGCACACCGCTCATCGCAGGCGACCCTGAGACATGTGCGTTGTTTTCATCGAATACGAGAAATTCGGCTGCTCACGGGGTCCAACAATTGACGTCAAAAAGCCCAATAGCGCATGGAAGCTTCCCCGGAAGCAGGTCGAATTCCGCAGGGATGGTGGGCATACCACAGCATGGGTTGATCGACTCGTATTCTTGGCGATCTTAATCTGGGGTAAGGGTAAGGCTGCTGGTACCGCCAACAGAGGAGCTACAGGGTCCGTCTGACGGGCTTGGGCCTCGATGGAGGGTACAAGTGAGCGGGTGGCTTGGGCTTGGACTCCACGTTGTCCCATCCCTTTGCGTGGGATGGGACGATGTGTTGTCAGTGATCCTACGGATGACAATAAAGCCCATGGCTCGATTGACTCTGTCACTTGTTGCTGCAGGTTGAGGTGCACGTAGTCACTGAATGAGGGGCCTTCGTTGAGCATCTACTAGGGTTTGCTGAATCTTTCTGAGCAGATCCCTCGGGGATGCAAACACAGGTGGAAGAATGCCCCTCATGTCCCCTGCGTTACCTGCAAGGACCTGCATGAGCGCCGGCGATCAGTAAAACTCGATACGAGCCATGATGCGTCGCTGCTCCCGCGCTCACCGAACAGAACGCCAGCAGTCGCTGGGGCGCTTGCTCAGGATGACTGTTGCCAAGCGACTCGGCTCCCACGTTGCTCTCATTCTGAATAAGAAAATTTAGTGATCTACATGAACGCTCCGAAGCGCCGTCTCTCACACCGGACTTGCGCAACCATGGTCCACGTATGACGTTTGTTGTGGAAAGTCTGACAACATTTTACAGAGCCGGATCTACAAGACCCACGGAAGGTGTTTTGTTCGATGCACAAGTCTACACGTGAAGTCCTTGCGCATCAGGTGGTTACTCGTCGCCGAAGAGGCCATGCGATCCAATGCAACACCATGATCCTCCATCCAGAAGGGGATGGTCAAAAGTGAGCGATTTACTCGGCGACCAGAAGGGTTGTCAACCAGCCGAACTATTGAGCCTCCTCCAAAGCTGGGGTGTAGATCGTTTCGTCGGCATACAGCACTGACCCTCACCGCCAGAAAAAGGTGAGAAGCTCCTGTTCAGCTGCTCAGGTGACTGCAGGGCGAAATGGCCCAGCCACACGGCCTTTCGCCTGATCCTCGCGACAAACGCCGCCTTCAATCGGCTCTTGTCCCATTTCGCACACATCGTGGGCTTCACTACCTGCATCTCTCAAGCCATGCCGAAGCGAGAGCACTTCACTTTGCTGTGCAGAATGAGGAAGCCATGTTACGTAGCGGCGGGCAATGGTTACATGTGGCTAGCCTTGGCCAGTTCTAGCGAAGTGCTAGGCAACTTTGGTGGTGGTCCGATTCTAAACATAGCCTCTCCCTACAGCCTGATTAAGAACACGAGCTGAGATGGCAACGCTGGTCCACGAGAGGAGTGGCAAAGACCCGATCGCGCCGGGACAACGCGACGGGCCTCTGCGACCTAGCAGCGGCCGTAACTCCCCCATATTAACCCCTCAACAAATACTCTGGGCTAGGTGTTAGCCGGCGGCATCTCGAAAGGTCAAGTGGGTTGCCCGGCGATGCCGAGGCACCGTCTCCCTAGTCAGCACCCCCCGAAAACATTGCCAGGACCGTCCCAGCCCAACTCGGCCGAGTGACGTGAGCTGATCCCATAGATGAATACGAGGCGATGCCTGTCAATGGTCCACAATGGTGCTCTACAGGGCCTTCTTTGCTCGCTTGTTCCCGCCACACCTCCGTTTGCACCCAGCCATCCAGCCATCCTGCTTTTCGCATGGGCTTCTAGCTCCCTTCTCCGAACCCAAACCCTGTCTTGCTTGAGCCCTGCCGGGCCCGAAGAGCTGCTGTCTTGCTTAGGCAGGGAGGCCCATCCGTCCCGAGCTAAGGGAAATCGCCCCGCCGAAAATAGACCTGATCATCGCCTGATGGGGCGTACGACCTCAACACGAAGTGTCCGGGGTGACGATCTCGTGGTTCGTCTGCTGACTAGCAACGTTGACGGCCTGGTGATTCATTCTGCACATCGTGACGATGATGTCGTGGGGGACCTTAAAGTGGTCCTTCTCTACACGGGTGTCACTG